GGATTACCTTTCAATCTGTGTAGTTCGGTAAGTTAATCCTGCCAAACCGGAATATTCTTGTTATTCTTTCACTCATGGTACGGCTTAAGCGAGGCCTAAAAAGCCTACCTTAAAGAGGACAGTTCATAAGGAAATATCGAAACAAAATGTCAACAGTTAAAGAAACTTAAGTTAGAGTTAAGAATACTTGGAAACCTGTCGGTTAAACGATTCAATTAAATTTGATCATTCCTACGCACTCGAAAAAAGGCGTTTTAAAATTAACTTTAAAAAGGTTATTACCCAAGTCATTTACAGAAACAAGTTTTCAACGATCAAAGATATACTAACACTACAGAACAAAAAGTGACCATCTTAAACGCCGCTTTAACTGTATTAGTGTATAATAACGATGATACGACTATAACAAACTTAATGATTACGATGTTTTAATGAGGATCTAGTTAAATCAGCATATATCGACGGGGTTTCCATTTAATTATTTATCCCTGCTACAATAATTATTTTTGTCTCTTGTTTGTATATTGTACTTTGAATTTTTGAAGCAACAGTTTGTATTCATAAATCCTTTTGGGAAAACCTAATTGTTTCTCAGTTAATAAACTACTACAAAGTCTTATTAGGCCGTATAAGTAATAAGAGTTTTAGCAGTATTTAGTATTTTTGTTTTGCAATTTGCTAAATGTTACATGGATAATTTGCCAATGACAAAATGGCCTTTCCAATGAGCTACTGTGCAAGTTAGCACAAGATCTATTAGACTTTAAATTAATTATTCAGAAATGGTATGGAAACCAATGTGCATCAAATTAGTGTCGGTGACCTAGCGGCGATGGTGGAATCGGGAACATGGGGCCCATTTTTATTTTTAAATGTTCTCGGCTTTTTGGGACCGAATCGAAAAATATTAAATGCAAAATTGTTTAAAATAAAAATATCTATCGATCTAGATAGTTTGCGAGCATACAGACTTCTAGATGTTTATTAAAAATCGGGTGCTCACAATTTTGTTTATTGCTTCCCTTACAGAGGTACTAATATGCACGGTAAACCTGGTTATTGGGCGTTAGTTAAAGCTTCTTGTCAGAAAGTATAATTAAGGTAGGGCCGTCAGTTTTTGAGAAAATCGCATTACAGTGATTGCACCTCGGGTTTTCCCCATACAAAAAAGGGGACAAATATTAAATTGCACAGACGTTGTACCAACATGCACGGTATATTGGCAGATTGGGGATCGCCTAAAGCAAGTTCAGTGGGGAAAGATAAATAGTTAAAATAAGTGCCGATTCAAATTTGAATCAGAAAGAACCAAGAAATGAACCAATTTTAAAAAATGTATTCAGGACAGTAGACATGTGGGAAACGTGATCTCTTTTTTCAATTAAATTTACTTTTACAGACGTTGTACCAACATGCACTGTACCTCGTTGCAAAGGAAATTAATTTTACCAATTAACTAATGCGGTACGGCAAACGAAAAGCCGTCAGTTTTTGAGAAAAAAGTATAGTGCGTTGTGGGCACTTCATTTGTTCCAAAATTGTAACTAGGAAAAAATTGACCTTATATCGATACCCTATATCGATACTTCGATAAAGGCAAGCTGAAAGTTTGGCATCACTCCCAATTCGCGGGAACTTTTTTATTCGCAAGAAAGAACAAAATGTCAAAGGTGCTGGTTAAATGCGTAAGTTATTTATATGTATTAATTAATATAAACTATTTATTCTTCCCATTCATAGAATATAGACAAGTTCGTCATGGGAGACAAGGCCACAAAAGCGCCGCAAGACAGCGAAGGTGGCTGATCAGAAGGGGGCGGCTAGCCGGGAGGCGGCTAGCGAGGATGCGGCTAGCGAGGTGGCGGCTATCCAGGAGGCGGCTATCCAGGAGGCGGCTATCCAGGAGGCGGCTAGCCAGGAGGCGGCCGCCGATAAGGCTGATGGCCAAACGCAACCAGCAAAAGGGCAAAAGGCCACAGAAGCGCCGCAAGACGGCGAAGGCAGCTGATCAGGAGGCGGCTAGCCAGGAGGCGGCCGTCGACAAGGCTGATGGCCAATAAATAAATATCAAGAAATAAAAACATCAAAAGTAAATGCGTCGAACTTTTATTTTTGTACCCGTTACTCGTAGAGTAAAAGGGTATACTAGATTCGTCGAAAAGTATGTAACAGGCAGAAAGGAAGCGTTTTCGGCCCCATAAAGTATATATAATCTTGATCAGGATCACTAGCCAAGTCGATCTAGCCATGTCCGTCCGGATGAATTTTGGAAACTGTAAGTGCTAGGCTATTGGGATTTGGCATGCAGATTCCTGAGCTTCTTACGCAGCGCAAGTTTGTTTCAGCAGCGTTTATTAAAAGTAAGGAAAATATCGAGTTTTTTTAATTTTTTTTTTTGTAGGGTATGACAAATTCGTGTATTTTGTACAAATTCTGAGTTCCTTAAACAGGGTCAGCTACACAATGCTGTTTCCCACCGATAATACTACAGAAACGTGCTATATATCTCTGAAAAGATAATTTAATTTGCTAAAAACTTCATATAGTAAAATTGTCTGAATATAATAGATTTAGAGTTATGACAAAAAGTTATTTTTTAAAACCACTTTTTGACTTTTTTCTCAAAGTTGAGTCGAACGATTTCTTTTTAAATTTTAAATCATATAGCCCTTGAGATTCCTCAACTTTTGATATTTAATTTTTTTTGCCCTAAAAATTACCGTTTGGAAGATATTAAGCGATAAAAAGTGCAACTCGTTTCAGCTCCGTATACGAAATATTTCATACTTATTTGAATAAACAAGAAAAAAACCAATTTGATGAAAAATATTCTTATTAGATTTTTTTAAGCGGAAAATCTGTTATGGTTCTAGGGTCCTTTACTTGCATGAAGCTAATCGAAATAGGAAACTTGATCTATTTGTTCTTCCACTTTGGAAAAACCCGCTAGTTTGGCGGGAAATGTAAGAAACGACAGATTTCTCTTAGAATCTGAAACTATACAGCCCTTGAGATTCCAAACTTGTGCTATTAAAATAGGTAATTGAATTGAAACTTGTTATTAAAAAGTTTAATATTCATATTATATATAGTCTTTATATTTTGGCCATTTCTACCATTTCCATCATTCGTCCTGCTAATATATATATGAGTAAATAAATATTCACTGTTGCGGGCCGAAATCATAGATTTAATATAAAAAAAGGTCATAACGGCAGAGACATGTGTAAAGCCTCTTAACATTTCGATTGGGCTTTGGTTGTGGGCTTTATTTGCATATTACATATCTGTTAAAAATTGTTAAGGTAGAAAGGTAGATACTGACAATTTAAAAAACACTTATAAGTAAGAAAATAGGCTAAATTAGGCAAACCGAAGTTTATATACCTTTGCCGATCGTTTCTGGGCAGCTATATAATATATATTTATATATATGTATATAAACTTCGGTTTGCCTAATTTAGCATATTTATAATATAAACATATTCTGAAAAGTTGCAGAAGTGTGCAACGCAGTGAAGGATACGTTCATTATGTAAATACTACTGTATTTATATATATTTCTTATATGTATACATATGTAAACTTCACAGCGTTGCACACTTCTGCAACTTTGCATTAGCATTTTTTTATTTTGCGATGAAAAAAATATTTATTTTAGGTATTACGTTATATAAGAATCCGTGTAAATAACATTTATCCTGCTTATGTACGTATCAAGCGAAAATATACTTACACATGATGATCGCTTCTATTATGCTTAATAAAAATAAATTAGCAGCTTATTTTGCTTTAACTTTGTTGTCGTTCTGCGCCGCCTTTCCAAAGTAACGGGGAAATCGCTTGACAGGGTGGTAACTCCTGACTTGTGCACAAGGGCTGGAGAAGAAATAATTAATATATTTTACTAAAACTCTTAAAATGGGAATTTCTAATAAACTACGGACCCGATTTTAATAAATAATACATCAAATTGATCAGGTGAGCGAGTATAATCGAAGGCATGTCTATATTTCGTTGAAAATATTATTAAACATAACTTCGTTTTTATATATTATGGCGTCAAGACGTTGCCAGAGCGCAAGGGCAGCTCCTTCAAATGCACGAGGGCTGGAGAAGAAATAATTAATATATTTTACTGAAACTCTTAAAATGTGAATTTCTAGTAAACTAGTAAACTATTTCAATAAATAATATATCTAATTGATCAGGCATGTCTTTAATTCATTAAAAATATTCTTTAACACAAGTCCGTTTTTATCGGACTTTTTTTTTACTTTATTAGTGTGTTTTATAAAAAAATAATTGTAATGAAAATCGGTGGGAAACAGCATTGTGTAGCTGGCCCCGTTTAAGGAACTCAGAATTTGTACAAAATACACGAATTTGTCATACCCTACAAAATATATTATTAAAAAAAATTCGATATTTCCCTTAGTGTATTTTATAAAAAAAACAATTGTAACGAAAATCGGTGGGAAACAGCATTGTGTAGCTGACCCCGTTTAAGGAACTCAGAGTTTGTACAAAATACACAAATTTGTCATACCCTACAAAAAATAAAATTAAAAAACTCGATATTGACCTTAGTGTATTTTCTAAAAAAAATAATTGTTATGAAAATCGGTGGGAAACAGCATTGTGTAGCTGACCCCGTTTAAGGAACTCAGAATTTGTACAAAGTACACGAATTTGTCATACCCTACAAAAAAAAAATTAAAAAAACACGATATTTTCCTTAGTGTATTTTATAAAAAAAATAATTGTTATGAAAATCGGTGGGAAACAGCATTGTGAAGCTGACCCCGTTTAAGGAACTCAGAATTTGTACAAAATACACTAATTTGTCATACCCTACAAAAAATAAAATGAAAAAACTCGATATTTTCCCTACTTTTAATAAACGCTGCTGAAACAAACTTGCGCTGCGTAAGTAGCTCAGGAATCTGCATGCCAAATTACTCTACGAGTAACGGGTATAAAAATAAAAATTCGACGCATTTACTTTTGATGTTTTTATTTCTTGATATTTATTTATTGGCCATCAGCCTTATCGGCGGCCGCCTCCTGGCTAGCCGCCTCCCGGCTAGCCGCCTAATGATTAGCCGCCCCCTCCTGATCAGCCGCCTTCGCAGTCTTGCGGCGCTTTTGTGGCCTTTTGCCCTTTTGCTGTTTGCGTTTGGGGGGGAGCCCCCTCCTCGCCATTCTCTCCAACGATGAACTTGTCTACGTTCTGTAAATGGGAAGAATAAATTATTAATAGTTCAATTTAATTAATACATATAAATTACTTACGCATTTGACCAGCAGCACCCTCGACATTTTCTTCTTTTTTGCGAAATAAAAAGTTCCCGCGAATCGGGAGTGATGCCACACTTTCAGCTTGCCTTTATCGAAGTATCGATATAGGGGATCGATATAAGGTTAATGTGTTCCTAGTTACAATTTTGGAACAAATGAGATGCCCACAACTCACTATGCTTTTGCCGAACAGCATTTGTTAATTAGTAAAATGAATTTCCTTTCCAACGAGGTACCGTGCATGTTGGTACAACGTCTGTGAAAGTCAAATTAACTAAAAATAGAGATAGCGTCGAAACATAATTGTATCCCACATGGTTAGTGTCCTGAATACATTTTTTATATAGTGGTTCATGTCTTGGAACTTTAAATTATTTATCTTCCCCCACTGTAAATCGATTTTCTCAAAAAGTGACGGCTTTATCGTTATGATTTTTGCACTGAACTTGCTTTAGGCGATCCCCAATCTGCCAATATACCGTGCATGTTGGTACAACGTCTGAGAGTGGAGCCCTGTGCAATTTACTATTTGCCCCCCTATTTTGTATGGGAAAAATCCGAGGTGCCTTCACTGTTAAGCTATTTTCTCAAAAACTGACGGCCTTAGCTCAATGATACTTTCTGACAAGAAACTTGAATTATCGCCCAATAACCAGGTTTACCGTGCATATTGGTACAACCTCTGTGAGGGGAGCAATAAACAAAATTGTGGGGACCCGATTTATTAAATAGATTTTTAATAGATTTCTAGAAGTCGGATATGGTTGCAAACTATCTAGATCGATAAATATTTTCATTGTAAACAATTCTGTATTTAATATTTTTCGGTTCGGCCCCAAGAAGCGAAAAAAATCAAAAAATAAAAGTTGGCCCCATGTTCCATATTCCACCGTTCCGCCATCACTGCTAGGTCACCGACGCTAAATTGACGGACATCGCAAACTATCTAGATCGATTAATATTTTCATTCTAAAAAATTTTGCAATTAGTATTTTCGATTCGGCCCCAAGAAGCCGATAAAATCAAAAAACAACAGGGAAGAACGCTATAGTCGACTACCTCGAGTAATAGATACCCGTTACTCAGCTAAAGGGACCAAAGAGAAATGGAGATATGCTAGCAGTAAAGCGAGATTGAAATGCGCCACCTACCTACGATCTTATTGTAATGTTATGTGGGCGGTAGACAGATTTAGGCGTTATGAGCGTTAGAGTTGGCGTGGCTAACTTTTTTTTGGGGTCAATCGATAGGTATTGACGAGACTAATATATTTCAATTAACATTTTTTTCTAGCATGGAAATTCGTTGAGAACTTGTAAACCAGCCACAGAGCATAAAAATTCCCATAGTGCAATTGCTCTTGTTGAAACTGCACTATAGTTTTTTGCAGTGGAGCCATAACTGTAACGTAGGAGTCCATGAACTCCCATGGTTGTTCATTTACAACGAAATAGTCGTCCTTGGATTTATTTTCAACGGTTTCAATAAAGCCTAATATAGCTTTCGCTTTATTGAATAGGTCAATCATATTATATGTTGATCAACGTATAGTTGGACAATCCAATAAAGGAAGTATACAATTTTTGGCTAAAAAAAATTACGGTAACCGTTTGATTGCTTCCGAATGTGTTTGGTAAAATTGCGGCAGGTTAACAAATACTCTCTTATATTTGAATTTTTTGTTACATCAAGTGCACAAAGCTGTCCAGTGTTTGCTGCACATCGACATATTTGTATTCCACCCACATACATATTTCCTGTTTTTTCGAAAAGGTCGACTTGCTTCGTGTACTCAATGTTCTCTTCAATACAGACTTCGCCAATATCATCATCGCTCATATGCATTTCTGATAAAATTTTCGAAGTTTTTATCATATTGGCCCCATTATCCGATGTAATTGATACAATTTGGGTCAGGGCTATTTCGTATTTATCTAAAACAGCTATAATTTCTCTACCGAGATTTTGGGATGTACTTGAACTTGCTCCTTTGAATTCGCGATTTTATTTCTTGTTTGCTGACAAATTGATGTCGAATATATTTCGATCAAGACGCGTTGCACTATCTATTTTTAAAGAAAGCAGTCGATTTTTACATTCTTGATGTATTTCAGTTCTAACATTCGCTGCTACCTGTTTTAGAACAGACTTGCACTTGCTTCCGTTCAAAATAATGTTTTTTCCGCTTTTTTCGTTAAGACCTTGACATATGGGGTCAATTATGTTGCGCATATTTGTTGAGTTTAGCACATGGAACGGAATGCTATCTTCAGTGACAAGACCAAAGTATGACCGGTTTAAATATTTTTATTGATTTTAACTTTAATTAGTGTAGGTTTCAAGGTTTTTTTGGTCTGCATGCAACCAGAATCATTTTCTTGCTGCGCAGGTCGGATGTCATGTAATTGTAAATGTTTCCCTAAATTAAAAACACGGTCGTTTTTTATAACTCGGAAACATGTTTTGCATTTAACGTGGTCGGAATCTATCTCCTCGTAACATTTTAAAATGTTGATACTTTTCTTTGCCGGTGTCACGTTTACGCAGTTAATCAAAACTCAAAAGTGCCAAAAATATTTTCTTAAAACTACAAAGCGACAAGTAAAAAAAAAAACGGTGCATAAGAAAGGTGCAGAAAATAAAAAAAATAAAAACGCAAGCGAGAGCCGTAGCACATGAAAAAATAGCATGTGCTCTGCTCTCATCTCGCTATCAATTTTACCGTTACTGCTACACAGAGCACAGAACTAAACTTTCTGCTATCGCTTTCCTACAGTTTCTCAAGCGACAAAACTGCGAGCAGAGCAGAGCACATACTTTCTCGTTGTTCTGCTATGGCTCTGCTATGGCTCTCGACAAAAAGAGAGCGATAGCAATATTTGTTTTCATCTCGCTGCTACGAAGTAGTAAGTAAGTCGACTCCGCTAGTGATCCTGATCAAGAATATATATACTTTTTGGGGTCGGAAACGCTTCCTTCTCCCTGTTACATACTTTCCGACGAATCTAGTATACCCTTTTACTCTACGACTAACGGGTATAATAAGAAGATTTTAAGTTCAACATGCAAACTAGAAAATGCATAGAGATTTTAAGGGAATACATTTTGATTTTTACAATCAAACATTTTTCATTGTAAGTTCCATCAACGAGAATTTTAAAATCAAACAAATAAAAATTCCTGACAGTGTTGATTTTATTGCTAAGCCGTTTAGTCATATCGCACGGAAATACACGGTCTTGGGGACATCGAATCCATTAAATGGACTAGCAATAGGCATTGTGTAGGCTCCCATGTTGCGAAATCCCAAAAGATCGCCTCTGTTCAAGTTGGGCAACAGCAGGTTCTCCGATATCTAAGGGTTAAGGAAAACATTATTTGATATGTTGCTGAATCAAAATGCAATTTTACTTACCTTATCAAAAGCATCACAACTGGGTCCCCAAATCAGAGACTTCAAATGAGGCAAGGAATCTGCTCCATCCTGCAAGATTAGTTGTAGTTTTAGATCTCTTAGTTTAATTTTTAAATTTATTTTAATTTAAAAAAAAATTATGTGTTTCTATTAAACTATAATGTCGAAACTGTAAATTAGATTTCTTCTAAACGTTCTGAAAATACTTTTTTGTAACATCCAAAATAACACTATTATCGGTTCAATGCAAAGATGATAGGAAATTGATTTGACCTGCTTTTAATTGTACATTTAAGACACATTTTGTATAGCAAAATTTAAAATGATATGGATTTTTGTGCTTACCAGATAATGCTCAGCAGTCACAACTTGATGGTCGTACAGAATGCAGTTAAAGGATCCGTATACACCATCATTAAGATAGTACATCACAGTGTCCAGCTTCCCAGCTTCGTCGCGAATCTCCCGCTTTGCATGGATCTTGCAGACCAGTGTATAAGCAGCCGCCACAAAGAAACGTCCTGGTTCGGCAATTATTTGGACACGATCGTCGGGGAAATGGCGCTGTACAGAGGTGTTAACACTCTCGGCTATCTGTAACAAAGACTTATGCAATTGCTTAAGGAACAGTGCTTTATTCAACCAACCTTTTTAAACTTTCCATCATCGCTGCCGGGAAAACCGCCGCCTATGTCCAAAAAATCCATGTCATAGCCCAGCAGTTCGCCGAACCTAAAGAGGTTCTTTGCCTTCTTGATTGCCCGATCGTAGGCCTCCAGCTCGCTGCATCCGGAGCCCACGTGGAAACTGGTGCCGGTTACCTTAAGGTCCAAGGATTTGGCCAGCAACATTAGGGCTGCAGCATCCACATCCGCATTGCAGCCAAATTTATCGCCCAGTGGGCACTGCGCCTCCTTGGCCTCGCTCTTGAATCTCACGATAAGGCTGAAAAGCCAATTTATACTTCTGAAATTTTAAGTAAGCTAATACTTACTTTGAGTTGGAATAGTGCGTGTGCAGCTTGTACACCTCAAATTCATTGTCCACGGTGCCATTAGCAACATGGTTCTCCTTGGCGTACTCCAGATGACTGACAGGTCGACAGGGATTGGCAAAGATAATACGATCCGGTGAGACATCAAAGCCTAAGACCTATAAATAGGGAATATGGAAATTAAACATATTTACGGTTTTAAAATCGGTTTCTAGAAAATGTGAGTACGGATGTGAATTTTAGTCCACTTTCTATTTTACTGAAGTGGATTCTAATCTAGGTTCGTAGTGGGCAGTATAATAAATACTAGTGTTAACGTACGTATATAGTTAAAAATATATATATTGTGATTAAAGTGAAATGGAATATTTCCAAAGTCCGACCATTGTTAAGAGCACGTTTTGGTGTTACACGCTCTTGGGAAAGATTATAAGAGTAAGTAGACCCACCAGCTTGAGCTCGTTTTTGGAGGCGCAGTCGAATCCGGCTCCCAGCTCAGCCAAGTGCTTGACCACCACCGGATCGTCATTGCACTTGACTGCGTAATAGGGCTTTATCCTGGGCAGGAGCTCCTGCCAAAGACGGTGCTTCCTCTCCACACTGGACAGATCGCAGATGTTGAGGGCCTGGTCCAGACCCTGCAGATCTGACTGCTCGATCACCCGGCGGATGTTGAGCTCGTCCTCGTAGTGTTGAATTTCTGGGGTACCGCTCGCCATCTCGCACTACTCGCAACTGAATGGAGCCCCGGTCAGTCCCATAACACAATTGTTATCAGTCAACGACTTGTGCCCTAATCGCAACAGACTTGCGAAACATTTAGAACACGCTCCGAAAACGTTCCTCAGCTGGGAACAATGCGGCTCTAATTAGCGGCAAAAGGTCAAGCGATTGTGACGGCCGTTACTCGCCCTCCCTTCCCCAAATGAATATTTGCCAGAATGCGTAATTTACAACCAACAATATTTGGCATCGTAAATAATTTTAATGCCCTCGCCAGGCTGCACGGGCATGTAAAACTAATAAAATTTAAATTTTCAAGAGCAAATGCCCGAGTGGCCATCAAGTCGTGCATAATCGACACTTGCCCCGCGGACACGGGGCACTTCACACCGCCTTTCACATCTAAATCGAAATCGCATCAAACCCCTACGCACACCCCTAGGAAATTCCACGGCAATGACAATAATAATAATAATAGAAGTGTGCGTGTCGGCAGGGAGGGTTGTTGTGGTCTGTTGTCCTGGCCAATTTAGCAACCCCTCGCCTGCGCCCAAACGGGCAATTAAAAATTAAAATCAAACTTTTGTAATCGATATTGGCAATTGCAGCTCTTCATCGCCAGCTTGAGCTAGAGTATCCGATCAATCAACCTTTAATTGGTTAAGCCCATCAATATTTTTTGCACTCCCTTCGGTCTTTGGTGAAGATGTTTCAAAAAAAGGAGTTGGAATCCCCAGAATGATAACTGTCAAAAACCTCAGACAAAAGTATTGAGCGATGGGCGAAAAAAGGATCTTGTCATGCTTGAAAACCAAAGGAATCGGATATATCCGAATCATTGCGATTTGATTGCAATTTGCTGCGAGTGTCATCATTCACTCGTTTTCAGTTTTCCAGTTCCGATGCGATTTCAAAACTAACCCGAAACCGCAGTGAGCACTCCTCACTTTGAGTGATGTGACAAATCGACGACAGGCTGTAAAGTGCTCACAAAAAATTCGGAATCGGAATCCCAAACACTTCTAGCATGCTGAATTGTAAAACTGGTTTCGTTTTTTTACAACTAAATGCATTTAAATCATTCGCTTAAATTGCTGGAAATTTACATGCAAATGTCATTAGTTCGGCTGTCAGTCCCAGAAGTTCCCTTAGAAATTGATTTAAAATTCAGATCCATTTTAATAGCCTTGGCCCCTGAAAAAAATGTAAATCTATTAACATTCGTTATTTAGCTAATTATTCTGCAGATTTTTCTGTTTTATTTTATATATTTTTGTTTTAAGTTGTGTTAATAGCAATACAGTTTTATTATAAACTTTCAGATTGTTTAAAGTCTATAAGATTTTGGGTCTTAAATTTCTTTATTTCGGCCTTACGTTTTTCGTTTTTTTTTTTTGCGTGATCGTGCTTAATATTAAAATAAATGTGCTGATAGGCCAAGTAACCTGCTCTCTCCTATAACAGAATATTGAGCAACTTGAGCTAATCGAGCTTTTAATAGATTAAACGATTAGCTTATATCAGGAGCGTTAAATAAAATTTTCAAGGGATAAAATTTTAAAAGTGGAAAACAAAGTTTGTATTAATTTTGTATTTTTTTTAAATTTAATTTAAATTCATTTTATTTTTAAAAATTCTTATCGTTCCACGCGAGTTGTTTTAGACAAAGTCAGTCATTAAAACATCGCTTCCACTTCAGCATACATGGCATTGACACACTATTTATAACATAACTCGCGTGGTAATACTGAACAACCCATGGTTATATGACCACCTCCCGCAAATCCAGTGGCAACCCTCTCCGGAAATAGTTTCATAATAAACTTGCCACGAAAGGCAGCGCCAAGTTGGCGCCCCATCAGCAACACGAACAATAATAATCAGGGAGCAGGACTCACCTTTGGCCCATCGTAGCACCCCAGGCACTTGACCGGCTATTCGAGGACCTTCGGTTCAGGGGTTCTGCCGGGGAATGGGTCTAAGCCGGGCCATTACCGCATTAGGGGCAACCCACTCGAGATTCCCAATCTCTGCGCCTGGATTATACTGCGCCTGTGCCGGCAGAGGCTCTCAGCTGGCACTTGCACTGCTACCCAGTACACAGTGGGAAATATTACCACACAAAAGGTGTTTTAATTCTAAATAATTTGCGCGTACCTAATTTAAAATATTTTTAAATCAGTTGTTTAAAAATTGGTTCAAGGTATCGATGTAGAAGTGTATATAATCGTACACTTTTGTTGATATTATTAAAAATAGAAGAATTAATGGGTATAATCCCAAATTTCGGTAAAGCCAAAAAGCTTGCTAATAGTAGTAAATATTATTATGATCTAATTCTATCTTATAGTTAGCTCTACAAGATTTTAGAGGGTTATGATGAGTTAATATAGTTTTTTGTTAACCTAATTAATAAAATCATTTACTTTCATTCAAACTGAAACCATAATTTTTGAAACGCAGAATAGTAAGTGCAACCTATTTTTCTCCGTGCACTCGTGCCGCTGCCATGAGTCATGTGGCACGAGTGCGGCGTGGGAAGTCCTTGCTCCACCTGCGAGGGTTCGACTCGGCGCTTCCTTGTTCAGTTTTGTTTGGATAGGCCAACGGGCTGCAGCAGAGATGAGGCAAATGCCCCGGCTCATTGCCACAACTCCGATGGAAGGGCGACAATAGCCACTCTAATTGCACCGTTCAATTTGGGAGGATAAATCGGCGGCGTCAAAGACATTGTCAGCATGTCGCATTTGCTGAGGCGCACCAAGAAGTCCTGTCTGAAGGTTAGTCCTTGCCTGGCGCCCGACTGGGTGGCTGTGGCCACTGGGTAATCAATAAAAAATCGATGGCCACCACCGCCGAATGAAAATAAACAGTAGAGTTCACATGCCAGTGTTTTTGGCACGTTAATCATACCTGCTCGCGCTAACTTTGTCCCCACCGATTGTGTTTTTGCAGTTCCTGCGTAAGATATCGACTTCAAAGCATCTGTTTGTGCAGCGGCTGGACGAGGAGGATGGGTACGATGACGAGGAGGTGGAGGTGGACTTGCAGCGAGATCTGGAGTTGGATGTGAACAGCAACTGCCAGGTCACGGAGGCTATCTACGAGGAGCTGCAGCTCAGCGAGTGCAATCCGGCCTTGGATTTGGCCAAGGAAACGCAGGAGTCGCAGCCCGAAGTTAAGCACGACCTGAGGACCAAGTACTTGATGAGCTACGGAAGCTACGAAGTTTTGGCCACCCTGCCAATGAGCATTGAATTCGAGCGGGTGAACTACAAGGAAAATGTCCGCTATCTCCGGCACACGCCATCTAATTCCAGTCTGGACCTGCAGCTGGAGGAGCAGCAGCCGCCAAGGCAGTTGGAGCAGCAGCAACATCCAACCCCTGTGAAGCAGCAACAGGCAACTCCAAGGAAACAACAAGTGCAGCAGAGGATTCCCCCGGCCAACCGCTACCACCCCTGCAGCATCAGTCTGGGCTCCAAGTTCGAGGGCAACTACCACAGCGTGGTGATCATGGAACCGCCGCACGACGACCTCCCCATCGTCAAGTGGGACATCAATGGCAACTCCTTGGACGACGACTCCTGCGACCGCTGGGAGGACTTCGACAACAGGTGGCGCCAGGCAGCGGCGGCCACCAGATCCCTCTCGCAGTCCCAGAAGTCCAGCCACCAGTCCAGCTCCTGCACCTTGGAGACCTGGGTGGACGACACGGAACCGCTGAGTCTGGACCTGCACAGGCACGACAATGCGGCCGCCGGAAACAATTGTAATCTTTGCCTTAGGAGCTTCTGAGTCCGGAAACGGAAACTCAGCGGCTTTGTAACCTCCACTTTGCGTCCAGCGATTGAGCACGATAACCAGTCTTGTGAGAATTACCTACGTATATATGTATTCGAGTATTTGAATCGGTAGACCGCAATTTTCATTATAGAAAGTTGAGAATATCCATTAACAATAAAGTGTGTTTGTGTGCGGCGCTCCTTTGGCTCCATACCTTGAGTAATGCACTTCAGAATGCGAATGCCCTTTGTCCTGTGGGAGGGAGTAAGTTCGCCGCCACCCCCATCCCAATCGATCCATTCCATTCCGGCGCACGACCCGCACGTGCTGGACGCTCGTGAGAATCCGTGGACCTTTGGCTTTCCCACGAGCCACGGCTGCGATTTCGGGTGCGTCTCGGCGGTGGTGCAAGTTCAACTTGGTGCTGCTATATGTGTGGCCATAGCCCTATACAGCTGTAGCCCTGCACTATCCATCCACTTGATTAGGGTGGGTTCCGGCTCGATTCCGTTCGCGTTTGTCCCACGCCGGCACTGACACTGGCATTGGCCATTAGGCATTTCCACTTTGCTGTTTGCCACAGTTGAAACCTGAGCGACAGCATGCCGAATCAAATGAAAAGCACTTTTTTATAATTTTCGATTTTGATGTACTTTTTTGAAATTGATATGGTGCGCCATTATTATCAAGCTTACGCCTCGTCGGTCGAAATTACTCGAGAAAATGGAAAGAATTCTTGCTTTGTGCTTTTCGGATTGAGTGGGAGAAACAATATAAAATAGAGCGGGAGCGAAAAAACATGTATATGATATTCTATTCAACATTCTTTTATTTTAACATATTTGACGCTATATATGATACATTTTTGATGAGGACCTAAGACCTAGTAGTTTTGCTTGCATATATCTGTCTGTATAAGCTTCAAGATTCGGAAATCTAGAATCTGCATGCCTAATCCTTACATTCTAGCTTCTTCAGTTTCCGGGATCTCATAAGACGCTATGCCGCTAATACGAATAGACGAGCATAGCTATATCGACTACGATAATGACCCTGATCAAGAATATATCGAGTCCTATTTGCAAAACTAACGTTAGCGCCATTTTTCGGAACAATTTTTTTTATGCAACTGTGGACATAATTTCCAACCGTCAAACGCCTACGAAACGAATCCGTAAATAATTAAAAAACCCTCTCCTGTAAAATTTGCTTTTTGGCGCTTACGCTATTTTCCCAAATAGGGCTCGATATATACTTTATAGGGTCCGAATTGTCTTCTTCAAGTGAAATATTCAAATCATGTCTGAACTTCTTAGTTATCGTGCCCACCGAGTCTTGTATTTCTCAAACTACACAGGTGGAAAAAACAAGAAAAAACGCAATAGTCGACGCCGTTGACTATCACATACCCGTTACTCAGCTAAAGGGAGTCCAAGAATGCAAAGTCGTCACCTAGCGTTTATTCCTATTTCCCAGCTTTTATTCACATATTGGTGGCGTGTTAATAAAATCTCGTAACCCCCTTGCATTTTATAGAATTTTCTAATTTATTTTCATAATTATTTGGTTATAACATTTTAGTGAATGGGTATTGATAATAAGAACAACATATAATTTAGCGTATAGAGCTATTAGAACAATCGTATTAAAGATTTCGGGGTGTAACCTAGACAACAATTTTTTTAACTTATGTAGCCCCTTAACGTACGCATAAGAAATCCTAAAATCCCAAAGTTCTAGCTTTTAAAGTTTCTGAGACATCAGCGTTCATAAGGACGGACAGACAAACGGACATGGCGAGTTCGACTCGGTCTGTCCGTCTGTTTTAATACCATTTGGGAGCTTAGTTTAGAAGCTAGTGATCTCTGACAAACTCAACCACAACGAGAAGAAGACTGAAGCGTCGGCACCCTGGCGATCTTTGGGCACAAGGACGTCGTCGTACCCGTGTCTTAAAACAATAATGTAGAACGGTCACTGTTATAAATTTGTTAACTTCCTTTTTTCGGTTATGTTTCGTGTTATTATACCCGTTACTCGTAGAGTAAAAGGGTATACTAGATTCGTCGGAAAGTATGTAACAGGCAGAAGGAAGCGTTTCTGACCCCATAAAGTATATATATTCTTGATCAGGATCACTAGCCGAGTCGATCTAGCCATGTCCGTCTGCCCGTCTGTCCGGATGAACGCTGAGATCTCGGAAACTATGAGAGCTAGGCTATTGAGATTTGACGTGCAGATTCCTGAGCTTCTTACGCAGCGCAAGTTTGTTTCAGTAGACTGCCACGTCCACTCTAACGCCCACAAACCGCCCAAAACTGTGGCTCCTACAGTTTTGATGCTAGAATACAAATTTTAACTGAAATGTAATGTTCTCATCAATACCTATCGATTGACCTAAAAAAAAGTTTGCCACGCCCACTTTAACGCCCAGAAACCGCGAAAACCTGTGACGCCCACAATTTTTATGCTAGATAAAAAATTTTAACTGAAATGTATTGGTCTCGTCGATACCTATCGATTGATCAAAAAAAAAATTTGCCACGCCCACTCTAACGCCCATAACGCTTAAATCTGTATACCGCCGGTAGGTGGCGCATTTTAATCTCGCTTTGCTGCTTGCATATCTCCATTTAGCTGAGTAACGGGTATCTGATAGTCGAGGTACTCGACTATAGCGTTCCTCCTTGTTTTTTCATTGTTATTTCCATGCGTTTTATAGCCATTAGGTTGGCTGATCAACAATTAGATAAATATTGTATTAGCACAAAAAACATAAAAAAGTGATCTCTGAAACCTTCACAGCTGTCATAAAATATGTGTACGCAAATTAAACCCTGATCGTACGTCTTAATTTTATAGCTCCCATAGGAACGATGGGATATAACATCCAAAAAATTAAGATATTATGTGCAGAGTAAAAGCTATTGACTCTCTCCAAATCTTATTTTTTGTGCATCGCAAACTTATGTGTATCTTATAGCTCCCATAGAAATATTCAGTAAAATTCCAAAATTCTATTTGTGAAGATATTTTGCGCAGGGTAAAACCTATTGACATGAATCTTTATAAATTTTAATTTTTATGCATATCTTGATCAGACGTCTATATTCTTAAAGCTTTCTAAGGAATTAAAAAAAAAATTGAACAATTGAACAAAGCTACTACTTCTTTAATGGTATGGAAGATCTTGGTCAACTATAAGGGAAATGGCGAAGTAAAATACATAAAAAAGCAACTGTTACAGTTTTCCACCTCGTTTTTATACCACGAATATTTTTTATGATTGATTTTAGTGTGCCCCCAACTTTTTACTCTATTCGGTTTTAAATACAAATAAGTAATTATTTGGTACAAAGGCAGTTAATAAACTTATTTCTCACGTACCTTCAACGATCCCATAAATCCACCACACTACTCATTGGACGTCAATATTAAAAAAGCTTTAACTTTGCAAGGTCCCTTAACTTTTTGATTTTTTATTAGAAATGAAATGAGGCCACTCCTTCCGGAAAACAGAGATGTTATCTGAACATTCAATTTTGGTCCAAACGTGACGACCTTTTTGAATATTTGCATTGTTAAAAATTACACTTTCCGCGAAAGAAATCCGTTTGTGATGCCCAAACTGTGATTGGCTGCTGAAGAATGGTTGATTTCTAATCCTTACAAATTAAAGGAGAGATTACGTTGCAACACGAGGCAATTCCCAAAAAATGAAAAGATTTCGTATTGATATTTTGCAAGTCCTAATAGAGAAATGCGCATTAGCATAGCGCTGGGCAAACAATCTATTCAGCAGTTTCTAGGTCAACTTCGGTCACCTGCTGCCGCAGACGCTGTTATCTCGATTCCGGCTCCTGATCCATCTCCTGCCACTGTCCCCGTTCCCATTCCGGATTCCTGATGCCGTAACCTTGAGCCAACACTGACCTAGAAATGTGTGGACCACCAGCACAGACAAAGGTCAACGGCGGCTGTTGCACTTGTTGGGGCTTTTCCGGCGCCAGCGCCACGCGATGTCACACGACCGGCGGCTGCTCGGGCGCGTGCTCCAGTTTGAGTTCCATGGTCCGCTGCAGGCGCTCCAGCGGCAAACAAGTGGGCGGCGGACGTCGCCAGTTTGTCGCCCACGGCGCCGATTAGAGGCCAGGCCGCCGATGCTGCCGAAAAGGCTATATCAGATACATTGATATGGAGAGCGATAGAGTCGAAATCGCTGCTTGATGACAGAGGCTTGCTCATTTGCCGGCCAGCCAGCTTGTCTCTCCTTGTCGCACACTCCCTTGTTCACTTGGCAGCGATCTAAATCGCCAGCATTTCCTACCCCAGTCCCGCCCAGCACGCGTTGCCAGGGGGTGGTTGCTGCTGCATCTTATTGGACGGCTGCCGCAGGCGGTAAAAAGGGGTTGAGCGGCGGCAGCGGAGGGCAGGTCGTCCGCTCGACGTGTGCTGCAGAATCAGTCGAACGCCGCTCGCGCACACGATAAGTCACGTGCTCAAACTAGCTCCGCTAGCCTTCCGCCGGTCTTCAGCTCTATCTGCAACTTGCTGCAACAGTGCCACTAGCAACACGCAACACTCGCCCAGCGACAACAGCAACATCAGCTCCAGCAGCAGCAACAGCAACACTGCACAAGTGTCAAGTGCGCAGGAGCAGCGAATAAACAGTAGCAAACAAACAAGCCAGCAATCACAATGGATCACAACATGCACGTGAACGCGCCGTCGCTGCACCACTGGGGCTATGCCACGGGACCCGCGGTGGTCATGCCGGGCGCCACCGCCATCGCCACCACCCCCCAGAGCCACTGGGTGCCGCCGCCGCAGAGCCACCACAGCGCCCACAGCAACCACAGCCACGGCCACAGCCAGGGTCACAGCCACGGACACGGCAGCCTGAAGCGGACGCTCTCCGAGAGCGACTGCGACGATCTCTACTCCGAGGAGTCCTCCAAAGAACAGTGCGTATTCGTGACTAGCAACCAAAGTGTTTTCAACTTCTCAACCAACCAGTTCTCTTTTGAAACAAAATCTTAAAAGTATAAATATTTTTTTAAAACAGGATTCAACCCCATCATTTTGGTTTTTAAAAGTGTGCATATTCACTAAAACTAAAATATTGGTACCACCAACATAAATTACCAATAAAAATCTATAAGACTTCAAGGATAAAAAAACCAAGTCCAAGTGGGATCAATAAATCTTTTTGCTCGTTTGTGCAAGTTCAGGATTTCCCTTAGTGCTTAAGGCTGAAAAATTGTACCAAAGAATATTCAAACGTTGTTTCTTGGATCTAATAGCCGATAAATTGACGTATTTAAAGTCTATATGAAATCGAAATGTTAGAACTTTTTGTTATAGCAGTTGCTAAAATTAAACAGATTATCTGTATGTAAAAAAGTGCATAAATAGACCGAAATATTTTCCATTTTCATAAATCCATACTAAATCTTAAACCTTTTCTCGCTGTGCTTTTAGAATCTCGCCCAGTGAGCCGGGCAGCTGCCAACTGATGAGCCGCAAGAAGCGTCGCGGAGTGATCGAGAAGAAGCGGCGAGATCGGATCAACTCCTCACTCACCGAACTGAAACGCCTGGTGCCCTCCGCCTATGAAAAGCAGGGATCTGCCAAGCTGGAGAAGGCAGAGATCCTTCAACTGACCGTGGAGCATCTGAAGAGCTTGCAATCTAAAAGTAAGTATCTAGTATCTAGTATGTATCAGTTGAACTAAAAGCGTGGGGTTTACAAACACTAGGAAATTTTGTATAGTTCAGTTATAATCATACCAAGGACTCCGAAATTTGGAACATTAACAATAGAAAACGCTATAGTCAATGGCCTCAACTATTAGATAAGCGGTAATCAGCGTTCATACGGACAGACGGACGGACGGACAGACGGACATGGCTAGATCGACTCGGCTATTGATCCTGATCAAGAACATATAGTATACTTTATGGGATTGGAAACGCTTCCTTCTACCTGTTACATACTTTCCGACGGATCTAGTATACCCTCTTACTCTAAGAGTACCAGGTATAAAAATATGTTAAAAATCTCACTTGAATTCCGAAAATGTTCTTTGAATTTTGCCAATTTACTTGGAAGAAAAAGACATATATTATCGGAAAACTCCAACTAGAATCTTTTAACAATCCCCGCTGTGGGAATCAATTGAGTCACGAAATTAAACACAACATGCGGCAAATTATCACAAATCTGGGTAAACAATCCTGACCTGTTGTCCCGAACAGGGTCGAATGGTGGGAAAGTTATGATTGCCATAAACAAAGCAGCACCACCGCCACCCCAACGGGCGAGTGAATCTCGAATCTCGGGGCTTCCCACGCTGGCTACCACCACTTTGGCAGAGTAAAGCTACTGTGAGGAGCGGGCTTCCACCCCCTGATAACCACCTCGCCAGTCATCCCATAGAAGGACACGGGGGTTGTTCTTTATGCACGTCGCGTGGGAACAGATATTTTAATTGTTTGCTCGATCTGGGATTATACAGCTTATTGACTTTCTCCGCCTCCTTTCTCCGCAGCTCTCGACTCACTGAGCTATGACCCGCAACGAGTGGCCATGGACTATCACATCATCGGCTTCCGTGAGTGCGCCGCCGAAGTGGCCCGATACCTGGTCACCATCGAGGGCATGGACATCCAGGATCCGATGCGCCTGCGCCTTATGTCCCACCTGCAGTACTTTGTCCAGCAGCGCGAGCTATCGGCCAAGAGTTGCGCCAGTCCGGGTGGTTGGACCCCCGCTCCTTCCAGTTCCTCTGGCTATCAGCCGAATTGTGCGGCAGCTCCCTACCAGAGTTACGCGGCGCCATCGAATCCGGGTGCCTATGTGTCCAGCTATCCGACGCTGAGTGCCTCGCCCTCCCAGCAGACCCAGCAATTGGGAGGACGAACCAGTGTCTCGCGGACAAGTGGAGCGGGAGTGAACGAATCCCTGCCCAGCCATGATATTCACTCCGAAAGCAGCAACCAGCAGCAGCAACAGCAGCAGCAACAGCAACAGCAGCAACAGCAACAACAGCAGCAGCAGCAACACCAGCAACATCAACAGCAACGCACCCAGACAACACCTCAGCCGGCACAGCAGCAACACTACACCCATGATCACAGCGTAGTGCATCCCGAGCAGCAGATACCCACCTACATAGAACTGACCAACAGCAACAGCAATCGTCCAGCTGCCGTGGGATCCGAGAGCCTCAGCTACAGTGCCGCCCCCCAGTATCCCGTGAGCGGAGGCCAGGACTACAACAACTCCAGCGTCCTACAATATGCCACGCCCAACGGAGCCAAACCCTATCGACCCTGGGGCGCCGAGATGGCCTATTGATCGAAAAACTTCAAGTTGAAAACAGGAAATCAGAACAGGAATTCTAGTCAGAGCAGACCAAGTGTGATAGTCTTAAAGTTCACATCCTTCACAGAAAAAAGGGGGGGGAAAATGCATTGAAATTAGCTAGTACCTAAGGCATAAATATTTAAATTACTCAGTACGATAAGTTAAAATGAACCTTTTGTGAATCTTTTGTAAGTAAACGCGTATGTTTAAAAGTAAAAGAATTTTATCGTCTTTTATGTAATAAAAAATTAAAAACATATTCAACACTTGAAAATCAACTTACAAAGAAAAGTATAGATAGAAAAGTATACATAGACTAAAAAGGTTTGGGTTTCATTTGAGAGCAATAGAACATTATTTAATTTGTTTTGGTTTAGAAGACATGAGTTTTCATGATATTTTTGAAAATTAAGGCTTTAAGTACCAGTGGATAAAGTGCCAATTTGAATTCATTTTCAATATAATAAAATAACAGGCGTTAGAAAAAAGTAACTAAGTATACCGATTCGCTTAAAAAAGGCTATATTATCATAATTTAATGGCCAAAGCATTCCACAAGCCTGTACAAAATGCACTGTTTATTCAGTGTATAAGATCCAAAGAGCCTGTGTATTATTACTTGTCAGTTATTTAGTATTTCTTCAAAACAATCAGTAAAACCTGTAGTTAGTATAGGGCAATCAGAGATCTCTATGGGTACTAAAGACGAGAGGCGCTTGCCGCGCTGGTGGTCCGGCGGCATCTGCTCGGCGATCGCAGTGACCACCACCCACCCGCTGGACCTGGTTAAGGTGCAATTGCAGACGCAGTCGCGAAAGGAGAGAATGCCCGTGGGCGAGATCATCAGGAACATCTACCAGAGAGGTGGTTTTTTGGGATTCTACAGCGGCATCTCGGCATCATGGTTCCGTCAGCTGACATACACCACCACACGCTTTGCCCTGTACGAAGCTGGCAAGGATTACGTCGACGCCGGGAACATGGGTGCCAAGATGGGCCTGGCATCCTTCGCGGGACTCGTTGGTGGTATTGTGGGAGTTCCCGGGGACGTGGTCACAGTGCGGCTCCAGAACGACAGCAAGTTGCCGCCGGAGAGACGACGTAAGTGAGTATCACTTAGTTCTGATACCCGTTAGTCCTTTCCCAGAGATCGTATAGGGACCTTTTAGCTGAAAGCTAATGGGTACTAGGTTGGAAGAAGACCCATTGTCTCCCAATTATCTTAAGCAGCTTCCGTTCTCTGTCCATTAAATTGTTCAATCAGAGGAATTGTGCACCTCCTGCAGTTCCGCATATCACCAATATGCTAGTGACATCAAAGTGTCATCAATGTGCAGAGTTGATTCAAGTTCGATAAAAAGTCGATTAAATTTTGATAGCAAATCCCTAACACATTCCCATTCCCATGCTCACATCATCAATCATTTGTATGATAATTAATGCATAATTCAGCAACCACATCGAAGTTTTTTTGCGGAACTTCTGAGGCCTTATACTACAGGTACATAAATTGTGCGCACTGCTTAAACTGGGTAACAGGCTTTACATTACAATAAGAACTCTTGCTTACGCCTTTAAAGCAGTGGTCGGCACACACATACCATCACAAGTTTGCCTTGCATTAGTGTGAGTGTAACAAACACGAAGTTTGCGCGCGGCGTGCTGTAGCGAGACGTTTCTCTGCTTTGCACTGAGATCCTCTGCCGCAGCAACAAAAAAGCGCGCCGAAGTTGAGAAAAAATGACCCGAAGACCCATGCCGAAGTCACACGAACATGTACGTTATACGTGAGCGAGCAGAGGATGGACAGAACACTTCCCTATGCTCACTAGATAGGCCGCTGCCGACCACTGCTTTAAAGTATGCTACATCTTTATCAATGGTGGTGTTTTGTATCTCATACTTTGTTCACTTGTCCACAGTACTCTTTCCTCTTTATCAACACGTCTCATCGAAACCAATTCCTCAGCTACAAGAACGTGTTTGACGGCCTGTTCCGCATTTACAAGGAGGAAGGCGTGTCCAGTCTCTTCCGTGGCACTGTGCCCGCCGTGTCGAGGGCCATCTTGCTGACCATCGGCACCAACGCCGCCTACGACCAGGTGAAGCAGATGCTCAAGAACGCCACAGGAGCAAAGGATGGAGTACCGCTGCACTTTGCCACCTCCACGATAGCCGGATGCATTGCCACGATCATAACGCAACCGCTCGATGTGATCAAGACCACATTCATGAACGCCAAGCCGGGCGAGTTCTCCGGGATTGGGGGCGCCTTTCTCAGCATCGTCAAGCAGGGTCCGTTGGCCTTCTATAAGGGCTTCATTCCGGCCCTGATACGAGTTAGTCCCAACACAATCATCACTTTTATCTTGTACGAGCAGGCGCGACTGCGCTTCGGTTATCTTCCGCCAGATGCGAAGTGATGCTCCCAACTCGGTCGCCATTTCGCTTTTAAATTTTTAATATTTTATATTTTACAAATGCACTGAATCGGAAATAATCCGGATCTAATAGACCGCCACTGTGCTCACTAGACCGCTGGACCACTGGATCGCGGACCGCTGACCGCTGGTCAGCATGCGCTGGGGGTCAACGAATGCCGCTCACGGTTTACAAAATTTGCATACGCTTATGCATTTCTGAGCAACTAACTAAGCACGTGAGCACCCAATCCGCGGCGGTTAGTTAAGCCGGCTGCACATTCGCCGCCCGTAATTAGGGAGCGGGGTTAGCAAGGTGCTGGGGTCGCAACCCCGAACACCAAAAACTGAACCCGAAACCGCAGGAGAAACCGGAAGTTTTCGAGAAAAACTGGAAAACAGGACCAGGATCTTGTCTCCGCTCCAGAAACATAAACACCGAAAGGGAAACTGTATCATAAAAGTAGCAGGGTTAAAATAAAGTAAGCTACTACTTCTTTAATATAACTGGATGTGGTTTCAAGGATTATTTTCAAAAGTTTTACAGATAGCTAAATGTTTATCAAATTTCAAGTCGGAACTCCTAAAAAAATCAAATCGAATGAAGTGCAAGTCACTTTCTGTTTCAAAACTTTTTTACTATATTGCTCGAATAAGTGACTTTTAAATGAAAACCATGATAAAGAATTCTTTATAAAAGAAATCGAAATAATTCTGATTCGAATATTTTAATTAATAAGTAGAGTCCAAAGTACAACGACCCTTTTGTATCCGATGTATATAAGTAACATAATATGGGCAAAAAGTAAGGTGAATTTGATTGTAAAATTCTAAAATAATTTCAACCCCTTCAAGGTAATTCCCTCTTGATTAAATTCACTTATGACAACGTTTTTTCCAATCCTCAAAACATATTAAACAGTCCCTTTCCTGTATAGCTATCAGCGCCTTCTTCGACTCGACTTTTTAGACCTCAATCGACTCGAAACGCTTATCCATAATTCTGGTCATTTTAGACGAATTGCTTCACGCAAACGATGCATAACGCTCAAATATTAACATGTCATTAACAGTCATGTCATGAAGAGTCCTGCCAACTTCAAAAAAAGAACTAGCCCAAAATAGTAGGCCGGCGAAGTTTAAATTGAAAATTCACCTAACTTTTTGCCCACGGCAGTATTTCAAAATTGTAACCTCGAAGTCTTCAGACGATGATGTTCAAAAATGCCAGCGAATACAGTTTATATATACCAATTTCTTTTCTATTCCTTAATCTAATATAGGTGACCTCATTATGCTTCATATTTCTAAGTCAATTCACAGTTGTGCTGCTGGGCTCCATTGTGAATATACAATTTATCGTGCCCCCTAGCGGATCCATGGTTTGGTTGTGGAAGGGTTTTTGTAAAACCAATTTGTTGATAACTTTTTGAATATCACTTTTCTTTCCCAAAAACTGTTTCCCACAGTCAAGGAAAAATGTTAGCAATATGTCTTAGGTCCCTCAGGACTTTGTTCCCAAACGAATAGTTTAATTTAATTTGGTAGAATTCCACTACTTGCAATTAGAACCAAAGGCCTACACCGAAAAATCACTTGAAACCGAAATTACACAGAAACCGAGCAACCAGAATTGCTGTCCGTGGAATGTGGGAAAATCCGAAATCACCCCTAAAATAAAAAACAAGAAACAATCTTTTGCGCATTAATTTATTTTTGCCGGTTAAACACATATAAATGCTTCGGGAGTTACCACGTATTCGGCTATGTGAGAGACCCCTGAGCTTTGACTTCCCACGCGAATTGCCATCCACCAACCACCACCCACCGGGTCTACTATAAAATGTCTAAGGGTGGTTCGGCTCAGAGATCGGCGTCAACACCATCGCCTTTAACATAATACACACGTCAAAACTTCCAATTAGAGACAATCATTCGGATCTGGGACGGGTAGTATTTCTGACATCGACGCATGCGGGGTGGTTTTATCAAATCCACGCTACAAAAACCATTGAGCTGGTCGGTCGGGATTTCATTCCTTCGATTACCAGCAGAGCAACAGGATCAGGAGGCCGAATACCCGCCGTGGGGTGGTTGCATATCATTATAATTGTGTGGTGTCATCGAAAGTGAAAATGATTCCTATTTTTATTGCGGTTCGAGTCAATTAAGTGGAATATTTCGCGACATTTCTGAATGGTTTTTCGTGTTAAACATAATAAAAACGTTGCTGTGGGCACTTGTTGTGTTCTAATATTTAATTTATGCACATGTGGATGGAATGTAAATGCACTTAAATCGGATTTTATGATCCATTGATTTTGTTCCCATGTGAGGGGTTAATCGAACACACATAACCCATAAATAAAAGTTAATAAATGAATTTGAATGCAACCACTGAACCTGAAAATGCGTTTTTCTTCTCGTATTCTAGTGTATCAATTCGATTTTGCCTGCGATGTGGGCCTTTAAAAATAGCTAGCATATCAGATCTGCCGTTCTCCCTCACACACACACAAGTGACGCAAGAGAGAGAACTTTTTATTATTATTTTAGTGCTCGCTCTTGCTTGTCATGTGAACTTTAATTTTGTTTTGATTTTTCGCTTTCCGGGGAAGTTGTCCGAAATCAATATTGCTCCAGTTTGCCGGCAAAAGTTTGAGTATTAGTGCATACTTTCGTTACTCCCTGTTGCATTTGGGAAACTAGATCTCCACGTTCTGTGATGTAACGCGAGAATGCACGGAAGGAAGCACGATCTATAAGATACTAAAAAAACAGAGAAATGTGGACCAGGAAGATACTTGTTGGATTTATTAGAATGCAGGCTTCTATTCCGAGACGTAAGTGGGATAAAAAATCACCACCAACTCACATCCCTCCCAAATGTTTAGAGTGCTTTCGGAATCATTTATAACAGCATTTAGTTGATCATTGGTTTAATATCAACATTAAGATCTTTAAATTCTAAAAGAAAAATAATGCTAATCCTGTTATAAACGGTTTATTTTGTTGAAAAGTAATTCTGGCCTACTAAAATATGAAAAAAAAGTTCTTTACCTTAATGTTATCCCTATGTAAAAATGTTTTCCAACTTTCTTAGCACCCGAACTATTAACACAATTTTGTTATCGGTATAAATAAATTGTATAACATATTAGTTTGGATATATCGGTATAAAAGAATAGTATAACAACAATATATATAAGAAAAGTGTAAAGTGTAACCTAACTGCGAGACATTAATCCACAATTAGAATTTTGTTAACTTATTTTAGGCTTCTGAAATTTTTTAACTCAGTAAGAAATGTTTCTACCCAAAATGAAAAAAAACCCAAAGAGATTTAGCTTAGGAATTTATTCGGGACTCTAAATGTTAAGTACAAGATCAGTGCCATGGCACCTGGTTGCCGATGGTGCCCTTCTTGTAGAACTTGGCCGTGGCCGAGGCTGTGGTGGCCAGGGTCGGAGTGGGCGGAGCTGGCTCGTAGGTGGGTCCACTGCCCTCCGCCTTGAGCACGGCGGCACATCGCCATTGCCTGTTGTAGTTCATCCGCCACAGACGCACGCAGCCGTCGTCGCCCGTGGAGATCAACATGGTGGCCAGCATATTCCAGCAGACGCGCCACACAGGACACATGTGCTCACTGAATTTGATAGTCTGGATGTCCAACTTCGAAACGCCAGTGGCATCTCTGAAAATTTTGAGAACATTTAGAATAGATTCTCCTTAAATATTGTTATCAATCTTACGTCACGCCCCGCAGGTTTACAATGTAGAGATCCTTGCTGGCCACTGCCAGCATGTGGAAGGTCCTTCCGGCATTAGGAGCAAAGGCCACATCCGTAACGGGGTCAGTTATGTCATTAACAGTGTCGATTTTCACGCACTTTCGGGCATTCTCGCTGTACGCAAATAAAAACACCTTCCCGGTAGGCGTGGCCGCCTCGTCGCTGCCGGCCTGAAAAAAGAAGAGTATAAATTATAATTTGGTTAATAAGTGTGGTAATTTGGTGTCAACATTCAGCGCTAGTTTCTCATCCGCATGTAGGTTTAAAACTCTTAATATCCTTACGACTTATGGAAACACTTTATTTTACCGTGCGGATGAGAAAACGCCCCATAATCTTCAAAGAGCATTTTTTAACCCTATATCTTTACATTTTTTTACCATAAACTAAATTGGAATTCCAAAAAATACAAGTTTTGAATACAGAGTTGAAAAATATAAAAACTCATAGGGAAATTTATGTAGTAAAATGTTAGAATGATGTCTTATAAGAGGATTTTAGTTGCATTTGAATAAATACTTGTGATGATTCGTATTTAGATGATCTGTAGATCTCTCTTAGAGATTTATGTATGCTTACCGCCAGCAGTTGGGTGACCATGTATGTGGACGTGTTCCAGGATAAACAGCTCAGCGGCAGCTTGTTGGCGATCTCGTGCTGCACGGGCCACTGCGAAAGGTTCATGATGTCCGGGGCTTCGTAAATGCGGATGATGCCGTCGGCGGAGGCGGTGGCCAGCAGGAGTCCCAGGTACTTGGGCGCGAACTCCACATCCGTGACGCTGGTCCGCGAATCGACCAGGGTGGTGCGGCGCACCCATCGCCGGGATGGGGTATTGCTGGCAGAGATCTTATCGCCAATCACCTCCTCCCAAACGGAGGCGGTGCGATCGAACGAGCAGGTGGCTACCACCTGGCCGAACTCCGGATGCGCCCAGGACACGCGCCAAATGGAGCCGGAGTGGGCCTTCCAGCTGCTGGTGACGCTCCACTTGCCCTGCCCGTCCTCATCCCAGATCTGTAAGTCGAAATTCCGGATCACAGAGGTTTATATCGCAGAACGAACACCAATCCATTACCTTTACTGTCTGATCGCTGGAGCAAGTGGCCATACGGCGGCCGTAATAGTCGAAGACCACATCGTGTATTACGTCCTTGTGGTCGGCAATAATGGGTTCCACGTCGAACATGCTCAAAAACCTGGTTATTTGCCGAAATTGTTGTTTATAAAATGCACGCGCCGAAAAATCTGCGCCGCTAATGCAGCCCTGGGAGGACAGGGTTGGTTTGCGCCGCCGAACAGCTGTTGATTACCTCGCTCAGTATTTTTCAGTATTTCTCTACGAACGGCCACACCAATCGAGTGTGAACAATTACGCGTGAAATACGAACAAAAATCAAGCGAAAAATAACAAACACAGCACTGCAGTCGATCACAACTTGATAACTTATCAGCCGTGCCACACGCCCCTCTGGGAACCGCTAGGAACTGTGAAATAGGGGAGTCAAGGCCCCAAAGTCCTAGGAGAGAGAGTTTTGCACCCGGAAAAGAACAGTTACACACAACAAAATTGCCAACCGAAAGAAACGTGCGAAGCGCAGTGCGATGGAGAAAAGTAAGTGCGGTAATCTAAGCGCTAAACGGGTAATTACAGCCCGATTCGAAATGTATGCGCATATATGCAAATCAGCGGGGTGAATAACCCCTCAGCATAGACAGAGATCGGGACCCGCGTTTGTTTATCATTTGAATTCGCTGGCCAAAGTGCCGAATTCAATCGAAGTATTAAAGTGCAGTGGGCAACATAAATATAAATTCACATTGCCATTCTTTTCATCTGCAATATGCTCGCCTTCTTTCGCTCTCTCTCGCTCTCCCACTCGTTACTGACCTTGATTCCTATTGGATTTTACACATCGCGCGATGCCCGTGACGTATGTATGTATGAGTGTGGGCGAGTGAGCAGCATACTTGCGCGTGTGTGTGTCAGCCGGCTTCAATTACCTAATAAGAAATAAATTGAGGATTTGCATTCCCATTACACTGATAATTCAGCATCTCTTTGGGAAATGTACACATATTATATTGAACATATCATCACATGAAATCTCTTAAAGAATTCCAACCGAAAATTCAAAGGGCAGTCCCAAAAATTTTGTTGTGGTATTTAAAAACAAACCCACTTGTACACGGGGAAAAATTTAAAACGTGTTGAACAATATAGAAATAATCACAATAATACCATAAATTAAAGTAATAGCGGGGTAAAATAAAGGAATTTATTACTTTGTAGTAAGCTGGAAGCCTTCTTCAAATGTATCATCCATCTTCAACATGCCTTCAAGTCAGACGAACACAATCTTAGTTCGGTTCTCTGTAGAAATCCTACAGATAAGCCCATCGAAATCAGGCGTTTCACACGCGACCGACTTTCGCTTCTATTATTATTTGGAGGTGATATCAGTAGACGGTTTTTTCTGGCCACGCGCCAAACATGAATAATTTGACCAAAAATCGAAAACCAAAATACAAAAAATTTCCGTGCGATAAGATCCCGGGAAAGATTTCGAGGCCTGGAGACCCGTCACCGTTAAGTATTAATCATAATCGGTCGCCAAGGCCAATGCCGAAATCGGAAGATTTTTCAGGCACTCGCCCTCTCCTATCTGAGATTAAAGCGGGCGTCGCGTCGGGAATTTCTTTTATGACTTTTAAAAAACCTCTGCTGATGCCGGGAGCAACCGTACAAACCGTACAATAAAAAATGAAAACAAATCAGCGGCATTTGCGTGTTCTGCTCGTGGCAGCGGACTGAATTCGTTAATGATTCGATTTCAAGTGCATCGCGCTAATCAATTTCTGGCGTTTTCGCTCATTTAACCCTAATCAGCATCGCTTGCCACTTACGCCAGCAAATTGAGAAATTATGGTTGTTGTGCCGTTGTTGTTGTTATTGTTATTGTTTTACCCTAGAGTGCATTACCGTCAGCGGATGGGTCAACTTTCAGATTAAATCCAGGTGCCACAACAAAAGCAACTACACAGTTAAAACATTGGCGACCTTGACATTGAAAAGCTCCCACATTGGCACAGATACATTTAAGAGAGCAGAGAAAGACGCACTTATAGAGACAGAGAGGGAAACAGCTACAGCTTGTTGGCAACAGCTGATCACCATCGACATATCGCTGTTATCTCGATTTATCAAGTGCAGACCGTTAGGAACGTATTGCCCTCAACAGTGGAACTTTCCTAAGACGAACTTCTGCCTTGACTCTAGGTGTTGTAAACAAATTTGTGTTACTTATTACCTTATGTTTAAATCAAACGGTAACTTAAAGAGTTATAATTCACTTTTAACCAAGAGATAAAAGTTTATGGTCGTTAAACATATTTTTAGATCTGTTATTTAAGATTGGTTAATATTGTTAAAACAGACAATTGAAGAAATTCATAGAGTCATAGTTATGTTATCTCAAAAACCACTGTGTTTACTATTAAGAGTGTACATTAGACAATTATAATTTTTCAAAAAATAATCAGAGATCAAGTCATTCGTAAAATGTTATGGCCTATTCACTTTGAATGAAGATCACTCAAGCCGTTGGGCAATGTTTTTACAATTACCGTGTCGGCCTTATAAAAATGCTTTTAGTGCCAGAGATTTCCCTGTTTAAGTCGACCGTTTTACTGTTCGAATTAGTGGGGCTCACTTGTACGCTTGTATTCCTTCTGGTCACTCAGCGCCGGCAACAACAATTCGCTTGGCGACCCGCGAGACCCGCCGGCGATTAACATACGAGCGCAACAACCTGAACACGCACAAACACAGGTCCGCACACGGAAACCTGGCCATAGCTATAGTTGATATTGATAGTGGCGACGTCGAAGTCGAAGTCGGCGCTACGCGGGCAGCGGCGTCCAGGCATCGATAGTGCTTTTCGGACGAGCATGGCCCAGTTGAGTTCCAAGCGTCGGTCACTGCAGTAGCCATCTAGAAATCGTGCGGAACCAGTCAGTCTAGGAAGTTGAATCCGATCCTATTCGATCCGATCCGATCCGACCTCGTCTTCGAAACTTACACCAGAAACTAGACAAAGGCACACGCAGAGTGGTAAAGCGAGATCAAACCGTAAACCTAAAAATAAACTAAAGCTAAAACTAAAACTAAACCAAATAAAACCTAGTCAAGGTCCCCGAAAAGTGTTGCCCCCAAGATTATCGCAGTTAGTAAGACTTCTGTACTTTCGGCTGTTGAGTAATTCAAATAGATGCGGAGCCCTCGAGTTCTTATCGTAAGATCGTCCGTAGAAAAACATACGACTCCACTTGGGAGGTGTTTATAGAGCTACTCGAGTGCGGATCCACACCTGTTGAGTCGTTTCTAGCGAGGAGTGTAACCCAAATCCTAGTTCACTTCGGGATTTCCGAGTAAGGCGCCTGCCGCGGGGCGTTACATAACACCCGACTGTTGCCAGAGATCGATTCCGGTGTCTAATTCGACTTTCCTTGCCTTTCAAAGCCCCGCTGGCTGGCACACTTACACACTGTAATGCCAAAATCATTGACCTCTTCTACTGGCCATACCAATTTGCATTTCCACACCACCAACTGGGGTTTTTTTCTGTCAGCCTGAGCTTCTTCCATTTTCTTTCGCACTCTTCTGCGTTTTGTTTTAAATTTTAATGCGCTGCACATTGTACCCCCAATATCCAAAATTAATTTTAGCGTTTTTAACACTCTGCCGAAGGGGATTATTAGTGGGATTGTTCATTAGTACAGCAATCTTTGACTTTTGGCCCGGGAACACTTTGAGATTCTGTATTTTTGTATAGTATATTGAAAACAATATGTGCATATACTTAGAGTGGAATGTTTATTGACTAGATTGTGTTTAAGTATAGACTAATTCGAATTTGCCACCTAATGGTCACCTAATGATCATCTAATGATTACACGTATGTCTAACGTAATATATAGATCAGTAGATAACAGCTACCATCGCTTGATTTTCCACTTGAAAAATGTCCTATTATTGTTTTGATATTTTCGATGACCTTTCAACTATTTAACTAGGACACCCTAAATTATTTTTAGTTTTGAGACAGAGTACTCCTTATTCGCTAACCATGTTTCTTATCAACCTTATTGAGTTGGCAACGATTTATTTTTGGTTTCCATATGGTTGTTTTTCGGTTTCTTAATTGTATCTGTCCAACTAGTTTATGCATAATTTAGCATTTTTATTTTGTTTTGTTTCGCCGCTTTGGCCTACAATTTCGTGGCAAGGTTTTTGAACTTGAAAAGTCTCCGAAACGAGATGATGCGAAACCCATAGCAATGCACAGGCACTTTCACCGTCCCCAAAATGTAAATTAAGCCAAGCCCGACACAAGATACGATTATCTAATCCGATTTGCATTCACCGATTTAAAGCAGCTTTTTGGATATAGCCGATGTTGATCACACTATTAGGCACTCTGGCTGCTTTTCTCGCATTCCTCTTAACATTGATCTTTGGCCGCGGCCAGAAAAGATTCAAACCCGTCCAGTCGTCAGCAGCAACATTGGCCACGACAGCAACAACTAGCGACAGCGACAACAGCAACACCGCTACCAATCGTAAGAATCCACAACTTTGTTACACCGAAACACTTGAAGGGCACACAAATCGCACACCTAGCTGATAACCCAGTATAATTAGTCTGTAATGTGTGTGACATTTGACCACGACTAACTTTTGTATTATTTTTCTTATCGCTGTGCTTGCAGACAACTCCAGCGTGATTGCAGCTACAGCAACAACAACCACAACTGGCAACCCTTCGGCTGCACCAGCGACATCACCTGCCGCAGCAACTGCAGCGGTGAAAGCGGGTGACAAGCGATTCCCCAAGGCCTGCATCAAGAAGGTCAAGTTCTCCAGCGAGAGCCTCAAGTCCGAGGTGGAGGAGCTGTGCGAACAGTTGAAGGACAGCGCACTAACCGACCTGAGCAACGACAACATCCGCATCACCTGCCATCAGAACAACAACAACAGCATCAACAAGAACCAGAACAACAACAGCATCGACATCAACATTGGCAAGATGAGTGAAACAAATGAGTCCAATGACACCGCCGCCCAGTCCGCGGAGGGCGAGAGGCCCAGCTTTCTGGTATAGAGCTCTATAATCCCAATCTGTTGGCACCACCACTAACGATTGTATATTTGTTTCGTCCATCCCACAGGTGGGCGACGAGATCGATGAGAAGGCTGCCGAGGCGGGCGAGGCCTGCGACGAGTTCCCCCAGAAGATGCAGAACGATATTCGGCAGAACGGCGATATTTCCGAGCGACGCAAGCGGTTGAGGTAAGGCGAAAAGGGGTTTACCCAAATCAAAAATAGCTATAACATCAAAAATACATTATCGGTATTACGAAGGCAGCCTTTTATTAGTCAGCAGTAAAACTTTTCCATCAAAGTCAAAAAAGGTTATAGCTTAAATAATTGTACTGAACTATTTTATTGTTATATATAGTACAGCGAAAGTCAAGCCAAGTAAAAATTATAATTTACATTTATCTTAAATTTTTGAAAAATCTTGAATAAGACTTTAGTTTGAATTGTTTATCTAG